CTTCTAATCTATTTTTGATTAGGCTCTATATAGAAAGTAGGCCCTAAATTTTTGTTATCTACTTACCAATCTATAATGTGGTAGTCCAATAGAAAACATTAACTCTCAAAGATGAAGGATCAATTGGTTTTATTGGACTTTTGTAGGTATGGTTGACACTTTAGTTGCCAAAACTCGAGCTTGGGAAGAAGCTCGTGGCATAACGTTTACATATGACGGTGTTCCCCTCCTCGCCATGCTAGATGAATATGCCATGCTCGGCAAGAAGAGAAGAAGAAAAGCGGAAGTTTAAGGTGAGGTTTCTATTCATGATCAGTTATAACTTCAGATAGGAAGAAAGTGAACTCAGAAGAGTCTTCAGCTAAATATAGTCAACGTATGGACTTACAGGATCAGAAGAAGTTCAGTGAGCAGCAAAACCCTGAGCAAGAAGCCATCTTCGGTTCAAGACCAAGTCCTGCTCGAGCATCTGGTACGAAGAAGGTGGTGGGTCCTCGAGCGAATGGAGGAAGCAACGGAACTCCTCCTAGCAGACGGTTGTCTCTTAATGCTAACCAAAATGGAAGCAGGTCTGGTACTAAAGATGGGAGGAGGGACAGCACGAAGCTGGCATCTCCTTCCAATTACGTTGCAATGTCAAAAGAAGATGCAGCCTCCCACGTTTCTGGAACTAATCCAGTTCCAGCATCACCCTGAAAATAAAATAGATTTTACACTAGTGTCTTGTTATTAGTGTTATTCCCAGATGTCATTTAGTGAATTGGTCCGAGTCGAAGAGATGTCGTTGTAGTATGGATATAATCTGTGACCGGAGAGTATACTTTTATTCGATGTGCAATATTTGTGATATTTAGCATTTGGAAGCCGGTTTTTGATCCATTCTGTGTTCTTTGCACTAGTTAGATTTATAATTACATTTATGGATGTGTCAGTTGCAGTAGAGCACTTAAAGAAATCTCTAGAATTGCTGACTAATCCATCAGCCAAAGTTATTTCTTCGAATCATATGACTTGGTCTTTAAAGGTTTTATTAAGAGTATGGAGATTATGACCACTACTGTTACTTGCCATGTAATTTTCATTTGAGAATCATAAAATTCCGTGTGGTTTTCCATTAAAGATTCGGCAAGGTTTTCTTTCTTTTCCCCCCAGTAAGACAGGGATAAGGAAATTCCAAAAAACTTTGGATATAACACTAAAACATAGGAAAAACCTAATAATTCTGGATAAGTTAAACCCATTAAAGAACTTGATTGACTAGAAACAAGCAACATTAACCAATGATTGAATATCGATGGTAACTAAGCTATTTCCTGATGAATCTTATCCCTTGTAGAATCCATCTTGGAATCTTATATATATGTACACCTTATTGTACTATCAAGAACGCCACTACTGTCTAAACAAAGTTCTACAGTTAATGATCTTTGATCGTTAGAAAACATGGGTTGTACATTCTCTCGTTCAAGCCCCCAAAGATTGTCTGATCAACAGGAAACAGAACACAACAACGACCGTAACCGAAGCTCTTGTTCGTTCCTGTCGTTGCTGTTGTTGGTCTGCATGTGGAAAAACGAAGCGAAAGAGAGGGAGTTGTTGCAGGAAAAAGAGAAGCAGAGGCTAAACAAGGCAAAAGAGCTCACTCTGGAGGATTGGCTCATTGCTTCACCAGGGTTGCAAAAGATAAACGGGACCTCATCAGGGGGTGAATACCATGTTTTCAAACATTATTCATCCAAGAGAGTTTTCCCATCTTTTATCGGAGAAAATACGACTGCCAATAGCAGCAGCTCATCGAAAGCGAGGGGGAGTTTCTCTAAGGAGAGGCTTTTGAAATTTGAAGGAGGAGGAGGTAGGAACGAAGAGATCATTGAGGTTTCTTTGAGCATGAGCCAAAGTGGGAAGCCGAAGAAAAGGGTGAGCTTTAGGCTACCGGAAGAAGCTGATATTTTCATATTTCATTCACCTCCACCACCAGAAGAAGAATCTCATTAGGAGGGAGCTTAAATCAGTGTGTGATTTGTATTTCATTTAAAAACTACACAAACCTCAAAAGATTGATTTGTTTCTTGTGATCGGTTTGGGTGTGCTTAGTTTGGAGAGAATGAATCCAGTGAACGCTAAAACTTTATTCAAGCATCAACGGAAAATGTAAGATATTTGTATGATAGTCTCATATTTTTAATGAGCCCTCTAAAAAGCTGATGTGGCGATTTTCTTTTTCTTCTTCCAATTAAACTAAGGTGATAACAAAATAATATCTGTTTTAAATACTCTTAATCATTTAACAATAAAAGCACAATCACCCTTCTATGACAGTTCGTGTTTGAACCCGTAACCTCTAATAACAACAATGATTCTTTTAACCACCGAGATAAGTTGGTTCGTGTTAAAATTTTATAGGTTCACTTTTATCATAAAATTCTGCGTACTATTTTATATCCCTAGTTTGTTAGGGGTCTTAGTAAGTTCACATAGTGGTGTCTGAACAAACCACACTGATAAAAGGAAAGATAAAAACAAAGTTGACTAAATTAGGGAAATAGTCCTCTAGTTTTGCAATAATTTTTTTTTTGCTAGTCAAAGAATAAAAAAGGGAAGTAGCTAATTGGTCTTAAAGCACTTTTTGAAGTAAAAATGGCTTTGTAATAAGATTACAACCGAAATAACTACCATTGAACCCCACCCCCAAATTTAAGATTACAGAGAGGTGGGGATGTGAAGTCAATTTAATCAAATTCAAAAGTAATTTCGCAAGATTTTAGGTACTAAAAAGCAAACACTTTTCCGCATGCAACCTTTTTTTTTTTCACATATGCAAAGCTGCATATATCTTTAATAATTTCTGAATTATAATTTACAGTAAAATATATCTCATATCATCTAATTGTGTTTGATAATAAGTAAATAGTTTTTTTAAAATATTATAAATATGTCGTCTAATTAAAATCTTTTTGCAAACAAGTCACTGACAATTAGGCCTGGCCTGGTGTAATAACAATTTTAGTCCTCTATACTTATACAGTCTATCATTTTAGTTTTGGTTCAAAATAATTCAATAAATTTAACTCTTTGTATTTGAAAATTTCATTTTTTAGTTTATTTTTTTCTTCTTCACAATTGCTTATTCTTCTCTCAAAAATATTATATTACTTTCTTGTTACTTTTATGGTATAATAATAGTTTATCATTAATTTACCGGTGCTTTATGGTAGAATACAATTATTCAACTACTACTTTGATTGGATGGATTCATTTGATTCGACAACATCGCAATGAAAGATTAAATTGATTGAATTTTTTAAAGACGAAGGGTTAAATTTATTAAACTACTTTAAATCAGGATGAAATTGATAAAATATATAACTTTTTAGACAAAATTATTATTATCTCATGTCACATTAGATATTCATTTTAGTTTTAATAATATGATGATCCGTTTCTAACAATATTTATAATTAAATGACATAATTATATTTTTTCCTTAAAACTCATTTATTATTATAAAATTAATTGAATTACCTAAAGTGTATTTTAATATATATATGATTTATTTTTTTAACAATATTCATTTGGTTCATCTCTTGATATTATTCTTCATAAATGATGGAACAAGTTAAAAGTGCAAAATTTAATATGAGCAAAAGGAACCTTATCCGCTTTCCCCTTCCTCTTCCATACAGTAGAAACTCTTTAAATTAATATTCGATAAATTAATAAACTCTCTAAAATAATAAATTTGTCCGGTCCCGACTTGGGCCAATGTAAAAAATTGAAAAACTCGATAAAATAATAAGATAATAATTTTTCGTGAGATCCCTTTATAATTTTCGGTCCCAAGAAAATCATAAATTAATAATTCATAGAAACTGAAAAAAATATATTACACTCTATTGAAATATGATTCAATAGTTGTCTGTTTTCCTTTAAAGTTCAAGTCTATTTGGAGCTCATTATTAATTTAATTCATCTCTTGCAACGTAATTCTCAGATGCATAGACTAATTTGTCTTTTTGTTTGGTATGTACAGTGTAATTACTTAAAAACTCTTTAAATTAATAATTATTAATTTATCGATAAATTAATAACTCTTTAAATTAATAAATTTCTCCGGTCCTGACATTATTAATTTATAGAGTTTTAACTGTATTTTTTTTTGAGTTTGAGTCGTTTTTTATAGACTAAATCATTTTCTTCTTCTTTTTATTTTGTTTAGTTGACGGCGACACTGATTTTGATACTAATTGTCGATCTTCGGTTCTCTTTTATCTTTATTTTTTAGTTTTTTTTAATAAGAATAATTCTTTATTTGTGATACGTTTATCTCTACCTTTGTGGGTTGTGGCACGTTTTTTGTTTTTTTATCATTTGACCGTTCTTTTATTTATGTTTTCTCAGGGTTAGATTTGACGCCGCCACAACTGATCAAAATGACACTTATTAGAAATCTTATTGATCTTCCCTGCTGTGACCTCCGGATTGAATTTGGATGCATAATTTTGTATTCGTGGATAGTTTTTCACAACGATCAACTCTGATTTGAGCTTCTCGGTGGTCTTTCAACAACTTAATTTTCTTTTGTGGGTTGTTTGTCGATGCAATCAAATTTGCTCGAATCTATTTTTGTTCGAGTCTTTTGGTTAAGTTTTTTTACCATTTCCATGTATGGTTTTTATATAATCTAAAATGGCAAGTTCCAATATTATAGGAAAATGTCCAAATTATATATTTAATTTATGATGATAGTTGTAAATGTTTATAATAATTTTGGATATTTTCACTTTCAATAATACTAACGGCTTTGATTAGAAAAAATAAAAGTTTGAAATTAAATGGAATATATATGGTTTGTTTTTTACCATTACAAAAAATAATGAATTTTAGATTTTTTTTTTATGTAGTTTGAGTTAAAAGAAACATAAAATATTAATATTTCATTAATTTTAATCACACAATAAACACTCTCTCTTTTGTGTGTTAATTAATTAATATTGAGAGAATTAACACACAAAAGAGGAAAATATATATCTATATGTATATAAAAGCCTTTTCAAATATTCTTTTCTCCTCGTTTTCATTAGCCACCTTTTTGCTTTAAGCAAGAGAAGTGATGCCACTATGTGAAAGAACTGCAACTGCTCTAGAAGGTCTTTAGCATGACTTGTGGCTCGGCTTGCAACCCGTAAAAACAGCTCTTCACTGAGATTGTCGCCGATGTGAGCATCGACGAGTACCCCGGAAACGCTCCGGCAGCTGTTGGCTAGTGCTCGGCCTACCTCCGATGCATCATCGGGCCGGCTAACGACCAGAGGGCTGCCTCCTTTGAATACCTCAAGCTTGTTTATGGTGAATGAACCATCTGCCTCGACCACTTCCTTGAAGTCCTGTAGGCTTGGAGCATATACCGGGATGTTGAAATTGTCACGCTTTTCGGCACTTATAAGACCCTGTATTTAACATATGTACATAGTTACGATAGCGTAAATTTTAAATCTAAATCTTAAATTATTATTAAATTATGGTGAGAATCTATGTGGTTAGAGCTGATTCTCTTAACCAATACCATCCAACGGCTGGCATTAGAGTAAGTCAATCATGATCAGTGACAATCCATCATAAACCCCAACACACCTAATCATTCCCTCTTTTGCATGGTGTTTCCCCTTTGCTTTTTGGTCTGCCAAATTGCAGAAACAGACCATAGGTGAAAATTATCACTTTCTTTTGCCCTAGACCTCAGTCGATGTCAAACCCTAAACTTGTTTTAATTATATTTTCAAGTAGTGATTAATCATTCTTAACCCTAAATTAGGAAATGGAGGTGATATAAAGAATCTAATGATGTGGGTTATGATATATGTAGAATTGAAGAGCACTGTCGACACTTCAGCCGCGTGTAAATTAGTATGAAGAGCTTTAAGTAAACATGGTGTGATTAGTGATTAATCAGCAAGTAAAAGAGGGTAAGGGGTGACGTGTATATCTATACCTCTTGGACAAGATCATCCCAAGCATCCTGAAAGTGGGTCCCAAAGAGGAGGCCGGCCCCACCTTGGTCGGTGGGGTCCACCGGGGTACGTCCCAAGCAGACAAGGAACATGGACCCACCCTTCTTCATCTCTATGGATCTTGCCCTGAGAAACTCCGCCAGGTCTGCTTGGAACTGCCTCTTGTATGCGGCGGCTGTGCTCTCGCTTGCGCCGTGGATGAACACCCTCCCTTTGTTGTATGCCGCCGATCTTCTGTCCAGCACAGCTTCAGGCATCTGGGTGCATGAACGGAGTCCCATGTTACATACACCAACAACAAATGTTTGCACATACAAAGACACACACACACACATGTTTGCACGTATAAATTGTAATATTATTTTTGAAACTATGCTTTACATTTATTTAGTACATTTCGAAGAAATTAGGGTTCCAATTCTTTTCGAGGTTCAAATATATATTTATATATACTTAGCATTATCATTTATGCACTCACTTTTGACCTACTAAATGCCGGTGAAAATGGGATGGTTAAAGCACATTCAAAGTCGCATAAACTTTTGTATTTTTGTTGACCATGAAATGAACTTAAACAATATTTTGTTCTCCTGTTAATTTCACCTTAGAAATCATCAAACAAACTTTCACTATTCATGTGTATGATTATCTCCTTATCAGTAATGTATACTAATATACATATAGTAATAATAACTAACCTGTGATAACCAGTGCAACGAAAACGCCGAATGGAAGAAGTCGACGGATCTAGCCGGAAAAAGGCGTCGGTAAAACGATCCAGGGACACCGGCAGCAAAATAAGATCGGTGTCCGTTTGATGCTAGGCATTCTTCCATGCTACTACCTCCGTTATTCTCCAACGGGGGTAGGAGTTGGAAAAGGGTGTTGAAATCATTGCTAGGAAGATCGGAGAAAAACGCGGAGAATTCCGGCGGCTCGTACCCCGAAGACTCGTAACGCTTCACCATGTGCTTGATGATCACATCGACGATGTAGATGGTGTTGCTGCCGCAGGAACACCCCAAGTCGACGACCACAAAAGGCGCCTCCGGGGAGCTTATACGTACACCGTCCAGGGCTTCTTCAAGAAGGTGAAGCATCGAACGAGCATGTAAAGCCTGCATGTATAAATAAAATAAAAAAATTCATATGGTGATTTAATCATATAAAAATATGAAGAAAAAAAAAAGACCTGAGCTTGGGAATTATTGGCATAGCTGCCTTCGCCTTTGCCACCTTTCATGCTGAGAAGCTTCTCGAGGTTTATGTTAGAAACAGCAACATTGTCTCCCATGGGTGACATTTTCGTCTTCCCTGTAGCTTTGTTTGTTTATTTTGATGGTAAGATTTGAGTAAAGCCGAGTATATATATAGGAAAATCTCCCTGGTTAGAAGGACAAAAACGGATTAACAATATATCGGTACATTATAATACGACAGGCAATAACAAAGATAGAAATAGGCCGGCAGGCCCAAGATTGACGCCGGATTTCTTGTTTCCGGTCTCCGGTGCCGGCAAATTCAACTCAATGGTGGTTTAAAACAAGATGTAGGAGTACTAAGCTATTGATCTAGCCGTGATTTACTACGAAGTATTATGAACATGTTTATCGATCTTATTATCAAAAATATTGTAATAGATTGAACTAAAAAATATTATCTATATTAAATAATTTTTTATTAAATTTATATAATAAATTGATCATATATTAGTTATGTTATAAATTTATAAAAAAAATATTTTATAAATCAATCGCATATTGATATTATGCATCGAAACCGAGATTAGACTAAATTAAGACTGCCGGCCGGACCGAAATCTATTGCTTAATATAATAAAAATATAAAGTATGAAGGAATTATTTAGTGAATCATTAATCTATTGCCAAATTATGGTGAATTATTTAGAGTAATGATTCCTTAATCTATTGCCAAATTATGGTGAATTATTTAGATTAATGATTCATTAATTTATTGCCAAATTATGGTGAATTATTTAGTGATTTATTTTAGCAGAAATAAATCATTAATTCTATACCAAACCCCTTTTCAACTACTAATTAGACTACTAGTCTCTGTTGGATCAGTGCTTAATCCTCAATGTTAACTCCCTCGTTTATCACGACTTCATCTCACTTACCACCTTTTCTCTCCATATGATAAATTTACATTTTTCGCCTGTGGAGTGATTACAAGGTAGTATCTGTTTAGAAATCTTTCGACAACGTACACACACTCTGCAGATACAGCCGCTCGAATTCAAGACCTCTAGGAAGAATAATACTCCCTTCAATCCCTAAGATCACTCGATGAATTCAACTGCTACAATACCTAATTTGCCTATAACCTGTTAAATCTTTAGATCGAAGAGAATTGAACTTAAATATATTTAAACCAATAACTTTTGAAAATATCAATCGAATCTTATAAAACATTAATATTTAAATCTGATATTTCATTAAAATTTAACATTTTATGTGAAATTAAATTCACACACATATATTGAAGACGTGATGTAGTTATCAATTACACGTTTTTACTTACCCACAAATGATATATACAAAATGGGTTTTATATTTTTTAAAGACTTTTAAATGAAAAATGTAATTAAATTATAAAGAAAAAAAAGGGTAACGGAATCTTGCTGTGATATTCTTCGTATTGGTCCCTTGTGGTATTTCATGGCAATTTTCTTCTTTAAAGTCTAAACGCGTGATGGTCGGGGAGTTCACGTGAAACAAGGTCGGGCCATTTTTACCTATATCGACTTAGGTCTTTCCTTATATTAAAAAGCTCTATGATAATGAATCAAATACAATTCCTATGCAAAAAGTTGCATTTCTCAATTATTTTAAGTGTTCTCATTTAGTCCCTGCCCTAGCTTTAGCTTTGAATTTATTAGTCAACAAAACAAAGGGAAAAAGGGGAAAGCTAAAAGATGAAGGCTTTGGAACAAGAGAATGGCCCCTGCACCGCACTGGTCAAATGAGCTTGGAATTTGGACGCTTTGTAATGACTCCTTACATGAAAGATTTTCATTTACTTTCCAGGGGTTTAGGGTTGAATATTTGGTACACCAAAACCCTTTAGCTTCTTGCAGGCTGGAGAGCTGAATATTTGTTATCCAAGGCATGAGCCTTGCAGCTCACGGAATACTGGGAATTGTCATTGGTTTTGGATTTATCAGGCAAATTCCCAACATAAGGTTGGGATCTAAATGCACAAAACAAACTAGAGTCAAAATGCCCCACAACAGAGGATTTACTACATTAATGGATCCTACCCTTTAGTTTATTAATGTTTAAGAGCTTATTTTGTGCCATTAAATCCTATGAGTTTATACTTATTATTTATAGCTTAAAATATTGGATATATCAGAAGCTACCAAAAGGGCTTTAAATGCAGCTGTCTGTTTGCTCCCCTGCATGTATATAGCCGCATGAACTGGATTTAGCGAGTATGGGGAATAGTGGCTATGATTTGCTTGAAATTTAGGGTTTTTTCTTTCATATTTCATTTTTTTTCAAATGAGAACAAAGTGGTTGGATCTCTGAATTTAAGTAGAAAAGATTTTGGTCAATGCTTGGTGAGATGTGTATAATTTTTTTTCTTGCTTCGTAAAAATCTCTGAAAGTTACTGCCATGTTCATTCAGTCCTTTTCCCTTCCATCAAAGGAGTAAATATTATAAACAGGGCCGTGGCTGAGGCGGAGTAAACTGCGTGACCGCGCAAGGACCCCAAAAATAGGCCCCAAAAAAATATATATATATAGTGGTATTTTTTTCAATAAACGCCACTATAGATGGATCTATTGCGATGTTTTTTAAAAAAAAACCCATTATTATTGTGGTTTTATTGATAAAACGCCATTATAGATGGATCTATCGCGGCGTTTGTCGAAAAAATGACACTATTATTGCCCCAAAATCGAATATATCTAGAAAATAAGGACCCCTTTATAAGAATTTGTAAAAAAAACCCGAAAACCTAGCCACGACCTGATTATAAACTTCAACTTTAGGGATGAATGTACATAGTGGTTGGAGCTCCTACCTAGTCCCAAATTCTTTAGTATAATGGCATGTTAAGACTTTTTTATTTAAATATTAATTAAATAAGATATTTAACTTCCTCCTTAAGATTTAAAATATTTTTTTTAAATTAGGGTTGAATGACTTTATTTGGACACGCAACGCATGATTTTTCAAAATATTTAAATATTACCGTAATAACTTTAATACTTGAATTACTCTTATAGAGAGAATAGGATAAATCTAGATAATGAACATAAAATAAGATTACGATAAGAGACGAGTACATATTATGCAGCTATTCCATACCCTAATCTTAATTAAACTCCTTACCTAAGAACAACCCTAGATAGCATTACCATGACATGAAACAAAAGTGAAAATTGGCTGAAACCTGAGCCGAACAGCAAGATCATTAATGTCAGCATTAGAGGATCAGGTTAAAGGGTTCAAAAACCAAAATTCTGAATATCATCCCCTACAGATGATGGATGATGAACCATCTATTCATTGAGCCAACCAGCTGAATTCTGATGCGAGTACGGGTGGTATGGACCAGGAGCGAAACCCATAGGATATGGAGGTCGGGGTGCACGAGGATCATAAAAAGCACTTCTATTTCCCATTGGTGGCTCAGGCCCTGCTGGGCCCATCCTAGCGTAGTTCAATTCATCTAGACGAGGAGCATATCGCTGCGTTGCAGACATATGCATCCTGTAGGATGGATTCATTGTAGCACCGGGGTGTTGTCCATAAGAGGGTGGTGTTGGACCAAAACCAGAGTTAAGTCCAGCCCTCTGAGAAGACGGATCAGGAACTTGACCATAGAAATGAGCTTGTGAGCGCATGCCAAATTCTCTAGCCATTTCATTGGTGTAATGTCCATAACCATGACTGCGGCCACCAACAGAATAGGGGTCATTTGTCATGTTGTACCTTCTTCCCATGTCATCACTAAAACTGGTCCTGGAGTCGCCATACAATGTTCCATGCGGAATATGTGAACCATGCATGGCAGGGTTCTGATGTTGGTTTGGCGATTTGAAGGAGGCACCTTCCACTGAGGATCTGCTACCCATCACATTGGATGGAGAAGAGTTAGGAATTCCACCATGCGTCTCGCTTCTTGGAGTCCTTCCTCCACTCTTTTTATCAATTCCCCTTCCATGATTCTCTTCAGTATGCTTTCTTTTAAGCTTACATGAGGTTTCCCTGGACTGGTTCTTCTCATCACTTTGCTGATTACTCTTATTCGAGGTCTCCCTGGATTGGTTCTTCTCATCATTTTGCTGAGGAGTCTTACTCGAGGTTTTCCTGGATTGGTTCTTCTCATCACTTTGCTGATGAGGTGAGCACACTTTCGGAGTCACCGACACAGATTTCTCTTGTTTATATTCCTCAACTTCATGATTTTGCAAATGATCTTTCAACTCAGAAGCATCATTAAGAAGAGCAGCATCCTCCAATGGCATTTGAGACATGTTTGTCTCATCAATAACCATTTCCTGATCTAAACTCTCTGATTCCTTGGGAAGATGACCATGTTTTTCAGCTATGCTCTTGTGGTTAGCTGAAAAATCAGAACGACTCCAAAGATAGAGAGGCGGAGCCATCACATTCCACTGATCCATTTGTTTGTCATTTGCATCAACAGAACCAGGCAGATAAAATGACTGGAACACAATGCCAGAGTTACCGACAATACCAAAAGATCGTAATAAGAACATCAAGAAAGTTCATATACGAGGAAATTGCACAAGACCTCTAAGATACCTTTCCAGATAAAAAGTTATTATCCTCCCAAATGAGTTCATAAGGAGGTTCCAAAAATTTCTTTTCATCCAACCTAGTGAAAGCCAAGAAATGTGAGTGTTTGAGAGAGAGAGAGAGAGAGAGAGAGAGAGAGAGATGAAAATACTACCTTTCCGTTTCTGGTGGAACAATAAGGATCAAAAGTTTAGGTTTAAATTCAAGGGCCTTATCAATGAACTTGTTTGCCAAAGCAGCTTTAACTCCAAAAGGAGGATTTAGACCCATTATCTACACAAATAGTGAACAAAAAAATTAAGTGAAACATGACAACAGGACAACCTGCATGTGTGTAATTCATACATTATAAAAATTTCCTTACCAATTGTGAACCTTTCGGCAATTCATTTGGTTTCACGCTCATCCAATCTTTCTTCTCAAAATTAAAATCATTCTAACAAACAAGTAAAAGAAAGAATTATAAATTATCTACATATGTATGCTAAAAGCCAGGGTCCCCTCTGTAATCCAGGAAACTAAGGCATACCTTTGCTTGGAAAATATCATAGTTTTTGAATGAGCAATTCTTCCCCGTCTCTTCAAGCTTTCTTTTCATTATTAAACTAAAATCATTAGCACCGCAACAAAAGTCGACAATCTGTACATGGAAATAGTTAACCAGACAACTTGCTCAAATACCATACTTCCATCTCATCTTTCGTTATAGGGATGTGCTTATAAGATGAAAGAAAGAACTGTCAACAAATAACAGCTCTGTTGTTTTTCCATACCGAATAAGAATATAAATATGGTCAGTCATGTAGTGTTTATCAGTATTATTGCACATACTTTCTAGGTGCTCTATTATTCTGTATATCCAAGGATATAAACAACTTAGTAACTAAAACATCTCTCTTTTATTCCATCATCTATTTCAGTAAAATATGAGCAGGAAACCATTCATTATGAAGCGCGTATCAAAGTATAATCACGGAGACTTGAATTGCAAAACATAAAAGCAAATGAATAAACAATGGAAGGAAAGAGAGGTGGGAAAGAGGGGGCAGGGGAGATTGGCGAGGCACAGAAACCCTTACCGTATCACCGTCTTGCACATACCAATGAAGTCTATCAACAATCTGTGCACATTTAAAATCAGGCATTAGTGTATTAAAGCATCAAAGAACTTATAATAATAAAAGAACATACATTAACAATGGGATTAGCAGATACAGAACTATAGGATATGGAAAACAATGGAATTTACCTCCTTAAGTCTATCCACTTTGGTAAAATGGCGACCAAACGATGAGTAGCGCATGCCAAATAGGAAAGGAGCAAGATATACTTTGAATTTGTTCTGCAAATAATAATTTTAACAAATTCAAGAGCAAGAGAAAGAGAATGTGATAAGGCACTCAACGACACTTTGTAGAAACATGTACATGCAACAAACTTGCAGAGCATATGTTATGTCCAGAGGGAAATAGGCCCCTTATAAAAATTTCATATCAACTTATTTTAAGAAACAGGATAAATGATGATTTATGTGTACCCCTAACCAAACATTAATTTTTGCAATGAAACAAAAAGAAACCCTGTATTTCTTTGAAAATGAAATCACACATACAAACTAAAACTCTTAATTAAACTAGAGGGTATAATTACAAATAATTACGGTTAATAACCTGCCAATTTAAAATCTGGTTTAAAACCCCTGGCTCACAAACAGCTTGAGCATCGTCAATACTACAGCCATCCTCTAGTTTTGCTAAAGCCATTCGAACAGCCTGCAAACAGTTGAAAAAAGACTCGAAAAAAGAAGAAAATAAGCACACAGCAAAACCATATCTTTGCTAAAAGCCATAAAGAAAAATTATCTGGAATGATGAAATACCTCAACTGAACCCTCTATCTTTCCAAGTGTAATTCTTTCAATAGTACTTTTTGAAGAATGTTTGTGTGTAGATGGGAGATTTTGCTTCGCTGTTATATCTTTTAAAGTTACTGATGATTCAGCCTCCTTCATTAAATCGAGTAATCTACATTGCAAAGAAGTCCAAAAACAAACCACATTTGATGCATAAACTAAAATATAAACTCAGATCAGTTTGACCATATGTGATTAAGCGTCACGAAGCAAGAAAAATACAAGGCAGAAATAAAAAGAATGCCACCTTTTCTCAGAATCAGCATCTAATGAAGGCATTACTGAGCTTTTACTTTTTGCAGTAGAACTGTCCATTGCAGCCTTATTAAGACCACCTTTGAGAGTATCTTGTCTCCCAGTCTTAACTTGCTCACTCTCCTGAGTCATAAAAGCGAATAATTTGTCCCCAGCGAGCTCTTGTTTCCACCAGTAGCAGAGGATTTGCCCATATCCATTGACACAGGCTTTGATATCTGCCTTGAAGGCTTTTCAGATGGGTCAGTGGCTTTGACTTTCTTTAGGGTTTTTTTCCCAGGAGTAACTTCACTCTTTTTTCTAGCTTCACCAGTTTAACAACAGAAGATTGCTTTGTTGCTTTCATGGCAGTTCTTCCTAGTGAAGTGTCTTCTGACACAAGACTTCTCTTCTTCAAGCCAACCTTTTCATGACTTTTGAGCACATCTGATGCTTTTCTTTTCGTTGTTTCATCAAAAGGGAATTTTATATGGTCCCTTTTTGGAGTCCCTAGTTCATCATCAATCTCATGTTTTCTACCCAAACAAAAATATAAACAATTTAAAAGACAATCAAAGCAAATAAAAGAAGAAAGCAACACGCTTAAAACACTTACAAGCAATAAATCAGTACACGATTTTCAAGAAGACCATCCCAAGCCCTTTGCATAACACCTTCCTCCTCTATATCATCAAATGCAATCTCTCTGACAGGAGCAAAAAGAAACCAACCAGAATGTTAAGAATAGGAAATATTCTGATGAAATATGCTTAATATAAATGAGAATCTTGTTGTACCTTGGTAAGCATTTCCTGTGGTATGATGTGGGGCAACGTCTACACAAAGCAAATTGCATCTCCTCGACTTTCTTGTTTTCTCCTTGTTGACAAACACAACATTTATGAGTGGGGCATGTAAAAAATTCCCCTGCTGAAATTTTGTTCCCGTGCTCTTCAGCAGCAACTTTATCGTCCTTATGGAGCAATTTTGCCACACAATGTGAATGATAAAAGCGACCGCAGGTTGCATTACTGCAGCAAAAGACCTGGCAAAAATAATTGAAATTTTTGGAGCCATTCAGCAAAAAGTTACAATAAAACTAGAAGAAATAAAAATCTATTGAGGATAACAAAAAAGACCAACATAAGTCGTAAAAGAAGATTTATCCAGAAAATAAATCGAAGAAATCAATTTCTCAACAGAAATCAATTGCACCAATCTAAAAACAAACAGACCAATGCCACAACAATATAAAGCTCTTATTAATGTTTATTGTTTAGAATTGATTATCTAAATATTTTGTTGCAAGAATGATCAATGACATTGGTAGGTATTATACCTCAGCACCAGAGGACTTATCAGAAGAGCCTAACATCCCACAAGCAAAGCACTGATGTTGATTATGTTCACAATTCTTGCATAAGAAAGTTTCCAATGCCTGCCATTTAGTAAGGATTAGTAATTAGAAACAAGAAACCGACAAACTAAAAGCCAATGATGTAAAAATGGGTCACTAGCTTACTTTAGCTTGCTTCGGAGTAAGGCCAAGAGATTCACACGCAGATTCACATGCAGACTCTTCATCAGCAGTAGGATGAAATGATCTCATACACCTTCCATCACAACATATAATATTACCCCCATTGTCACAAATAGCACAAACTGAATCATACAAGTCATCTTCATCATCATCATGATTGGAATCATCCAGCTCATGGTCATCATTATGGTTGGAATCATCTAGCTCAGGGTCATCAACTGCATCATTAACTATAAATCCAGAAATTGATGTGGCTCGAGCATTCTGATTAATCAATAAGGACACTTGATCAAGATAATGTAAAATTTTGAGAATATAAAAAAACTGAATAGTCATATTTGAAAAAAGAAATAAACCAAGAAACATAGAAGGCAAATATCCAACCTCATTAACAAGTTTCCGCTTTTTGGGCCTCTCCTCCAAAAATGAGTGCAAAAACTGTTCACAATATAAACATTACATTGACTTCAATGACAAAAGAACCCGAAAGATAGCAACATCATTATAAATAGCTACAATGCTTAAGATGAGTATCTCATGTTTTACAAGCCAAAAATCATGATATAAAAGTCATCACAGACTAAGAAATGATAAATCCGACACCCACATTATCCAATGGAAAATAACAATTAAACGCACCAAAATGATTTTACCATATTACGACATACAAACCTTGGATTTTGCTAATGAATCATCACTTTTAACAGCCTCGGCAATCAAATCCATGTGATCCACCAAATCATTCTGTGAAGGTTTTACCTCATACAAACTGCAAACATTATAAGAAAATTCTTTTAAAGATAAAAAAGGGCATCCGACAATTTCAAATGGAAATAGGAAAAGTGCTCCCATAAGAGTGATAAACTACCTAAAAGTTTTAGCTAACTGCTCCCACAATGATTTCCCAGACAAATCGGGTTTCCTACTAAGAAGATGCAAACAATGAAGCGTTATTAAAACACTTCTAATCTCAGGCTCAAAGCTCTTCCTTGGCTTCTGTAGCTTAAGCCACCCATTTTCTTTACTTAAAACAGAAATAACTGGCATCCCAACATTAGACAGATCGAATTTCCAGGCAGTGACAAGCTTGCAAATTTGTAAGAGCCCATCATCAGCTACTCCTCTCAAAAATATATTCGTTTTAGATCCATCACTTGAGCATTCTTTTCCCACAGGTTGTAGGGGCAACTTAGTAAAGCAAACCGCCTCATCTTTTTCATCATGAAAATAGTAATTTGAGACAGAACGGAGTTGAGCCTCTTCTTCCTCATCGTCAGAAAAAGCCATTACCACACTGATGGTATTAAAAAAAACAAGAAAATAACTACAAGATTCTATTAAAAATAAAACAATTAACAGCGAAAGAAATTGCATTAACATTAACAGAACCTCTTCTTTTTCATCATTATATAACTCAAGTACCACACCGATCATATTAAAAAAAATAACAAAAATAATTACGAGAAGTTTATTAAGAACAATGCAATTAACCCTAAAGTAAACTGCAACAACAATAACTACAACTGAAAATTGAACGCAATACACTGATAAAATTCAGAGTTTCAATCAGCGGAGGAGCAGCGGTGTCGCCGCCTCTGTTTTGCGGTAACGTGTGTGAAAAAAAAAACTTCACCTCAATAGCAGTTATCACGGCCGCAAAAAGCAGCGTAATTGAAAATAAAGGCGTTAACGGCTCGCTATTCCCGCTGAACAGATATCTTTAAAAATATCCGATGAAACATAGACTAACAAGCGGAATCCTTGAAATTAGGTTTAGGGTTTCAAAATTTAACTGATTTAATTTCATGGTCTATCAGAAACTGGGAAGGCAGGGGAGGGCTTCGATGAGAGGAAAGGGATAATAAAATTACGAGGAATAGGAGATGGGTCGATGTTTCTTGATAGTTTTAATAGGGGAGGGCTTCGATCAGAGGAAAGATTAGTAAGTATATTTTAGACATAATTACTATTTAAATCACTTCTATATTCTAATTTATTATTTTCTATTAGTTTTGTATATTTTATATATAATTAAAAATAATTTATATGTTAATTTACTAGTATATATTATTAGTCTGAGACATGGGACGTTTCATCCATATTCATTTCCTGATTTATATTTGTGTAATTTAAATTTAATTATTTATGCTACAAATTTTTAAAAATTATATAATAAAATTCAATTGAATACTAATTTAATTTATATTATGAGCTGCCGTTGAAAAACTAATTAATCTTAAAATGTGTTATGGTAATCATTTCCCTCATTAAATTTTAGGGTAAACTCCATAAATGATCACTCAACTATGAGTTTGGTTTCGAAATGATCACTATTTTTAAATTTACATCGATATGACCATTGAACTATTTAAATGGTTTCAATATAGTAATTAGGGTGTGAGTCCTTGTAAAGTTACGTATTCACGACGCTGGCACTCTGCTTTGTTTTCTTCCATTTTGGTCATTATTTGTATATGATTTATTTCTTTGGATTTTCATTTAATGCAATTTGAACCTGATTCTATTTTTAATTTATCTAATACCTTAATTTGAGCATTAACTTTAAAATATTTTATTCTAGTCATGTATTAAAATAAATGAAGTGAAGTGAAAAAAATAATGAGACTTACGCATGACTTAACTACTGAGCTAATTCTCACATTTTTTTATTGAGATAATACATATGTTATATAACTTGTTCGTGTTTAGGTAGAAAAAAATTAAAATAACTTAATTGGATTTGAACACAGAATAAATTAATAACCAAGCATGCCTTAACCAATAAGCTAAATCTAATATTTAAGAATCAAATATAATACTATATATATATATATATATATATATTATAGTTAATGATAAAAAATAAAATAGATAAGTGAGAACTTACATCTAAGTCAATTGAGAATATGGCAACGCTTAAATCACTAAAATAAATCTAAATATCTAATAATTTATTTATAATTGATTTAAAATTTTAATATTTTTAAAATAAATTTATTGTTTTCATATTTATTTTTTAATGATTATATATGAAATCATTAAAAATAATTTAATATTTAGATTATAATCATAAGAAAAATATTGAAGATTCAAATTATAAATTTATCTTTTGATTTTAAATTGTTGAAAACATTTTGATGTTTCGATATAACAAATTAAGTTAAATGAATTTTAAGATTTTACAAATGATTTTCTAAAAGTATATTCGATTTAATTACTAGAATATCAAGCTATTACTCCAAGTCTTTCAAGATCAATTTTAAACCTTACTAAATGTGTAAATTTGTATTTTATACTTAAACTATTTTTAAACAAATTTTCACAAAGTATTTTGAACCAAAATCAAGCCTAAAATCAATTTTTCAGAGTGATACACCGATGCACCAATCCATGCATCAATGCACCATGAATTAAATTGAACATCGAATGCATTTCATGCATCGATGCACTTACCATGCACCGATGCACTGAGGATTTTATGAAAACATCAAATGCATTTGATGCATCGATGCACCAGCCATGCATCGATGCACTCTGGCTATTTTGAAACATCGAATGCACTTGATGCATCGATACACTCTTAGTGCACCGATGCACTAAGGGTCCAACGGTCAAAATATTTGAATTTTACACTGATGCACCGATGCACCATGGGTATGCATCGATGCACTGACGCTCCCAACTACTTTAATTAATTGTTTTCACACTTAAACGGCTCTATTGACTCCACTAATCATCCCAAACGTTCAGAAGTGATTCAAGGTGTATTTAAACAAGCTTAGAAGCCATTGATCAATAACAAGAAACAACAAGCAACTAGAATCAAGAGAGAATCAAAGAAAAAGCATCAAACCTCAAGTTTGTGCATTTCAAGCCTATTTTTCATTCAATATTCATTTTGCTTTCAAGAATACTATTTGTACTCAATTGTATTCATTCTTGAGTGTTCTTTTCTTTGTTTTAGAATTGTGCAAACAATCTACCTTGTGAGGATTTCCTTGTAAGTTTGCAAATTTGTAATCTTCTCTTTGGGAAATAGTGTTCTCAAGAATTGGGGTATATTCTTGAGGGTGTTGTAAGGTTATCTCTTTGGCATCAAAAGAACAAATTAGTGAATTTGTTGGAAAATCCTTAGTGTGGATAGCTAAGGTAGTGGACGTAGACTTTGGTTGATAAAGTCGAACCACTGTAAATCGCTGTGCAATTACTTTCAATTTTCTGCAAAAGCTTCCACCAAAATTTTTATTGCCAATTCACCCCCTCTTGGCCGATTCCATCGATCGATTAACTCAATAATTGGTATCAGAGCCTAATTCATTTGAAGGTTTAATCGCCTCTTGAGTCAATTCGGGAAGAGTTACATCGATAATCAAAGTCATCAATGGCATCTACTTCAAACTTCGACTCCGGTCTCGATTCAATGCCCGTCAACAAGCTTTTTTTCTTCAATGGGGCTAACTATGCCTATTGGAAAAATATGATGATGTACTTTATTCAAGCAAGTGACATGGGAGCATGGAATGCAGTAGAAGAATGATACATCAAGCCTCTCACTCATCCAAGATTGTGGAGTGAATGAGAGACAAGAATGTTCCAGCTCAACTCCAAAGCCATCCATATCATATTTTGTGCTATTGGACCAGATGAATACGAAAGAGTTTCATCTTGTACAACCGCCAAAGAAATATGGGTCAAACTTCAAGTCACTCATGAAGGTACCGATGAGGTAAAGAAATCTAAAATTAGTATTCTAACGCATAGCTATGAAAATTTCAGGATGAAACAAAATGAAGATATCAAAGCTATGACGGATAGATTTTCAACGATTGTCAATGGTCTCAAATCATATGGAGAGATTATTTCAAATGAAAAGCTTGCGAGGAAGTTAGTCTACTCCCTTCCAAAATTGTGGCAATCAAAGAAGACGGTAATCATCGAGTCTAAGGACCTAACGTCCTCTTGAAGAACTAATCGGTTTCCTTCTCACTCATGAAATGATGCTTGAAGATGAAGTGGACCTCGATAAGATTGACGAGATACCAAAGGAGAATGAGAAGAAGAAAAACATTGGAGTTGCTCTCAAATCCACAAAAGATGAGAGTTATTCGAATGACAATGATGATGACGAGAAAATGGCATTATTTGCCAAACGATTCAGAAAGTTGATGATGCCTAACCGAGGAAGAAAATTCAAACGTCATGAAGGCTTCAAAACTGAATCGAATGAGAAAGACCCGATCATTTGCTATGAATGCAAAAAGCCGGGGCATGTCAAATATGATTGTCCACAATTAAAGAAAAAGGGTCAATCCAAAAAGAAGCACAAGGCTCATGTAGCTACATGGAGCGATGAAGAAGGTTCCGATGAAGATGAACAAAAAGTTGCAAACTTGTGCTTAATGGCTATTGGGGAAGATTCTAAGGTAACCTCTAACTCATTCGATTCAGATGAATTATCTTATGATGAGTTATTAGAGGATTATAATGATTTGGATTCGGATTATAAGACTCTATTTTCAAAATACAAAAATGATATTTCAAAATTGAAAAACGAAAATAGTCTTTTATCCAAGACCAACAATGAGCTTGAAAGTAAGATCAAAGAATTGCAAATCAAAATTAATGATTTTGAAAAGAAAAATATTGATTTGCATAACTTACTTTCAAAAGTTCATGATGATCATCAAAAGAAGATTGATGATCTTAAAACTTATTTTAATAAAGTCGGTACAAAAAGTTTTGAAAAATGTGAGAATTCAAAATCCAACTTTGTTAAGAAAAGTTTTAGAAACTACAATCATAGAAGTCCTCAAAGAACTTCAAATGGTAAAATCATTAGAAGTATATGGGTTCCTAAAGAACTCATTACTACTAAAGATAAAAATGTCCTTCATAAATGGATACCTAAGGGGACAAGAATTTTAGAAACTAATGAATATGGACCCAAAAGAATTTGGGTACCAAAAATTAGAAATTAATCTATGTTTGTAGGAAAAGGAGCATTGCTACAAGGCACGGGAAACAAATCCAAATTCATGGTACCTTGATAATGGATGCTCAAGACACATGACCAGAGACAAAAGTCGGTTCATAGAGCTTAACGTCAAAAATAGAGGAGAAGTGACTTTTGGTGATAATTCAAAAGGTCATATTGAAGGTATTGGTATTATAGGTAATATCTCTTCCATACAAATTAAAAATGTATTATATGTGAATGGATTAAAGAATAATCTATTGAGTATTAGTCAATTATACGACAAGGGATTCAATGTCATGTTTGAAATTAATGGTTGTAAAGTCATTGACATTGCATCTAATCGGATTATGCTTGTTGGTTATAGAATAGGAAACATATACATGGTGTATTTAGACTCTATTGATATGAATAATTTGTGCCTAGTTGCTAAGGATGAACATGATAGTTGGTTATGGCATAGGAAACTAGAACATGCTAGTATGAGTGTTTTGCAACGGCTAATTCAAGGAGACTTAGTAAGAGGGTTCCCTAAGCTTAAATTTGATAATGATAAAATCTGTGATGCTTGTGCTAAAGGAAAACAAAAGTGAATTTCTTTTAAATCCATTAATGATGTATCAACTAGTAGAGTATTATAATTGATCCATATAGATCTTTTTGGGCCAACTAGGACTACTAGCTTGGATGGAAAACAATATGCATTTGTCTTGGTAGATGACTATTCTAGATATACTTGGGTTCTATTCTTAAGTACTAAAGATGAAGCATTAGAAAATTTCATCACATTTTCAAAAGTAATCCAAAACGAAAAAGGTTACTCTATCACTAGTGTTAGAAGTGATCATGGCACTGAATTTGAAAATCTTGGATTTAATGAGTTTTGTAATTCTAATGGTATTAG